TTTTTTTTTTTCCTACCTGCCTACTCCTCCATATGACCTGTTTACAGCTAGGGTTCAATCTCTCACTCCAGCATCCGTGATTTGCAACAGCGATGATCTAGCGGCGGCGATCTCCGTATCTTCAGAGTGAATTTGATGTATTTGGAGACGCGAAGAAGGTTGGGATCCTAGTCACTGATATATGGCTGATAAAGCAGATGATGAAGCCAAGTATCTTCAGAGTGAATTTGATGTATTTGGATTTTCTTCTCATTGGGAAGAGGATGTGCTTTTTCTTCTCAGCAGAAGTTCAGGATGTGAAAAAACAATTTCACCACTTTTTGAATAGGATGTTAGGTGCCAAAACCACACAACCGTTAATGAGACGGTCACAAGCTTCATTTTTTCCTGGTTGCTGTCAAGATTACATGATTTTTCCCTTACTGATGAGTTTTCTATGAGCAATCTTAACCACATAGGATGTGCATTTTAGTCTTCACTCTCTGTTCCAACTAAGGTTTGTCTTATGTGTTCTTGATTGTTATTGGACTTTGGTCTGTTTCTTTCCTGGGAGTCATACTATTGGTTGTCTAATTTGTTCTCAACTTCTTATTTAACTAAACTGATTCTTGGTTGAGTTCTTTTGCAAAATTTTATTTTGTCAATCAAATCAAGAGCACAGGAACAAATCCCCCATGCCATTTCTTTAAAGGTTGGGTTTGCAATAAAATAAGATAATTTGTGTAAGTGAGCTCAATTATGCAGGGCGTGTGTCTTCTTTCCTTAAATCTACCTATTAAAATGGAGGCATATTCCTGTTACTAGTTTAAGCATGTGTTGTTATCAAAAAATATTAGATGTATTTCCTGCGGATGGTATGTTGTCATTAGATAGACCAATACCGCTTGCATTTGGATGGATGAATTTGAAATGAAAGGATTTGAGGTTAAGATAAAACAAACAATATAGGAAGCTTGGTTGCTAGTTACTAGTGCATTGAAATAGCTATTGGGGAGGGCTGAAGGATCCTTGTTGTACTAGAATCCTTCTATGGGTGAATTTGAAATAACTAGTTTCATGGTGTTATTTTGAATTCATAAATATAAAGCTTTAAAATCATTGTTAAAATCTGCAATCTAATGTTTCAATCTGAATTGGATGCATAAACCTTCAAATGATCAATGGCAAATCCATTGATTTGAAATCCGCAGATCCAAATACAACCTTAGTTAATTCAGCTGTGTATGTAATCAATATTATCAAAAAGGTTATATCTCCCTTGGTTTGTTAAATTACATTGGCAGTAGATGTGCGAGCTGGTTTGAGTACCTGGTTTGTGTGAATGGCATTCTATCAGGACATGGATTTATAAATTTTTTATTTATTTATTTTTTTTTTCAAACATGTAATAACCATTAACATATATATTAATGAAATACTCCACAGTAAGAATTAAAACCAACCATTTTCTTTTGATCTGCTAAAAAAATCTTCCATTTTCCTATTCTTAATCAATCTCTTGTTCTTGTTGCTAGTGTTCAACAAATAAAAAAATTGTACATCTAGTGTTTACTACAATTTTCCTATTCTAAATCAATCTCTTGTTATTGTTGCTATTCTTCAAGAAATAAAAATACTGTACATGTAGTGTTTACTTTAGCAATTACTTGGACAAGCCTTGACGATGACCTGATATGGATAGTGAGGAAATTATAATAGTAGTATTATTCTTTTGTGGCAACTTTTAACAACTTCTGTAGCAAAAATAATTATTGAAGGCAAAGCTTGACTCTTTGGCTCGACCCAGAACTTCATATTGCATTCTCATACATTTTTTTTTGATAAGCAAAAGGAAACAACTTTATTGATATCAATAAATGGATTACATCAATAAAGCAAGGGCGAAGAGCATCGAACATCATAGTGTTACCCTTCATCCCAACTAGGTTGGCACCAAGAGCAACACCCAATCATTTGAGAGCTCATGCCAAAGGGTTGGCAAGAGACCAACACCACAGAAGAAAACAAAACAATAAACAAAACAAACAGGACACAGACCAAACAACAATAATAAGTCTACCAAAGAACAGCATATAGCAGCAGCACAATAGTGGAGCTATCAAAACCAACCCAGCAGCAGAAACAATACCAAGATAGCAGCAACAATAGCACACCAGCACACACCACTGCCTTAGGGTCAATCGATAGCAAGACAAAACAGCCCCATGCTGCCTTTGGGACCACCCTGCAACCATCAATCACAGCACCAGATCTCAGTAACTGCAACATAATTGAGCAGAGTCTTAACTCCCAGAACAAGACAACTCAACCCAGCAGCAACTTCAACTGATAGGCATATTTCGAATTTGCTGCAGGTTATAGATAAATTCCTGAATTGAGTAAGAGCACCCCTTGAAGTGATCCTTGACCCAGAATGCCACCCTCGCCTTAATCAAATCACAGAAGTCATCTAGCCAAACTTGCCTTCCACTAAATATTACTTCATTCCTGAGTTTCCAAATAGACCACATGATTGCCAACGGAATGGCCTTCCAGACTCTAGCTTCAAATTTTCTCCATTTAAACCCCAACCACCAATGAATCAAGCCCTCAACACTACCAGGCAGTACCCACTGCAAACCCCACCAGTTCAACAACCTGGACCAACTCCTCATTCTTACAAAAAACACAGCTAACTGAAGCGTTTTGATTCAGCACTCCAATCTTTTGAAGGAAGACAGCGGTTTTTAATCTTCCTCTCCAAGCCAACCAACAAAGGCATTGAACTTTTGGTGGAGCCAGCTTGTTCCATATCAGACCAGTGCACACCAATGGAATACTAGGCACATACTCTCAAGAGGGAGGCTACACTGAACTGTTGTGAAGAACATGCCAACCATTTCAAACAGTCCTCACTCCCGGCTGCCCCCAACTCAACCTGACTCATGAGTGATACCAACCTAGCTAATTCCTCAGCCTCTCCCATGCAAATAATGATCTCCGAAAATTCAGATTCCAGTCCTCTGATAGTCTTCTCCTTTCAATCAACACACACAAGGTTATCTCCTTTTCTGTTGACAAGCTATACAGCCTCGGAAACTCCAACCGAAGACACTGCTGCCCAAACCAATGATCACTCCAAAAGTGAATTCTGCTCCCATTTCCACAGCCAACTTGGAGTAGTTAAGAAAAATGCTCAGCAAGTGGGGGTTGGATTGGCCAACACTTAGTATCCCACCCCATAGTTTAGAACAGGAAACTGCAGAACATGAAAATGGCGACCATCTTCCTCAACTAAACTGATACCTACTGCACAGAACTTTCTTCCACAAGGAGGTATCTTCAATCCCAAATCTCCACCACCATTTGGCTAGTAGGCAATCATTTACATCCTTTTAACTTTCTAATCCCCAAACCACCTTGTTCTTTGCTGATAGTGATCTCCTCCCATTTTACTATATGGATCTTTTTCCTTAATTCAGTCCCACCCCAGAGAAAAGCTGCCCACAGGCGATCAATGGTCGTAATCACAGATTTAGGCATCTTGAGAATGGACAAGTAATACACAGGGAGGCTAGACAACACAGACTTTATAAGAGTCAGCCGACCCCCAAAGGATAGTAGTTTCCTTTTCCAAGATGCTAACTTGGCTCTCACTTTGTCTATAACTGGTTTCCAAGTTTTCTTGAGTCTGGGGTTAGCACCAAGGGGCAAGCCAAGATAAGAAAAAAGAGCGCTTTGATTTTTACAGTGAAGCCTAGCAACGCACTCCATCACCATCTGCTCAGGTACCCCAACTCCACAAACAAAGCTCTTGTGGAAGTTTATTTTCAGCCCTGAAACTAACTGGAAGCATCTTAGAATTCTCTTGATTACTAGAACCTCCACCACATCAGCCTTACAAAAAATTATTGTGTCGTCTGCGAACTGTAGGTGTGATGCAGTTATAGTTGTCCCATTCTAACCTAAAACTGCTCCTGTTATGAGCCCTGGTGAACATGCCCTTTGTAATAGCATATTCAAGCCCTCGACTACAAGGTTAAAAAGGAAAGGTGACAGAGGATCCCCCGCCCATTGTAATAGCATATTCAAGCCCTTGGCTACAAGGTTAAAAAGGAAAGGTGACAGAGGATCCCCCTGGCGGAGTCCTTTTTCGGGAGTAAATTCAGACGTTGGAGATCCATTAACAAGAACTGAAATTCTGGAAGAACATAAACACTCTTGTATCCATTTTCTCCATTTTATTCCAAAACCAAACCTACTCATCATAGCCAACAGACAATCCCAGTTGACAAAGTCACAAGCCTTCTCAAAGTCTAACTTTAATATCATTCCCATCTGTCAACTTCTCTTCCACCAGTCAACCACTTCGTTGGCTATCAAAACCCCATCCAAGATGTTCCTCCCCCCAAGGAAAGCAGATTGTGCCTCCCCAATCACTCGAGGCATCACTTTCCTCAGTCTATTAGTGAGCACTTCAGCTAGGATTTTGTAGAGTGACCCAATGAAACTTATTGGCCTACAATCCGAAATAGTGGCTGGACCATCAATCTTGGGAATGAAAGTGATGATCTATTTACACCACGTACCAATTTCCCATTCTCATGAAATTCATTGAAAAACTGAATAACGTCAGCCTTGAAGATCTTCCATCACTTCTGAAAACACATCAAGTTGAACCCATTAGGGCCCGGCGCTTTGTTTCCATCGCAACTCTTAACAGCAGCCCATATCTCATCTTCAGTAAACCGAGCTTCAAGACTCTCAACTATGCAATCAGTACCAATAGATTGAAACTGACCAAGAATCTTTGGCCTGATCCTCCATTGCTCGGAGAATACTTTCTGAAAGTGTGCGAAGACCTCCTGCTTCACCCCTTGTGGATGCTCAACCATCGTGCCCCCCACTGATATCGAATTTAACAGATTTCTATTTTGCCTACTAGATGCCACAATGTGGAAGAATCTCGTATTTTTGTCCCCCTTCATACTCCATTCCAATCTGGACTTCTGAAGCCATATCTACTCTTGTTTTTTATACAGAGACCATACTAGCTTCCTGAGTTCACAACTTCTTCCAACTTCAGCTTCAGTCAACTCCCTAGATTCAGCCAGCAAATCAAGATTGTGCATTTCAGCTTTGGCTAGCTTGACAGAGTGTGAGACATTCCCGAATTCCTCAATGTTCCATTTCTTTAAAGTCCATCTAAGAGTTCTAAGCTTCTCTAGAATGACATATCCAACCCAACCTGTGATTACTATTCCAAACCAGGCATCCTTTATGACTGAGATAAATTGGGGGTGCAGAATCCACGCACTGATGAATCGAAATGGTTTTGGACCCCAATCTTTGCCATCCTCCATTAGAAGGAGAGGGCAATGATCAGAGACCCCCCTTGGAAGGCCCCATAGCTTAAAATTATACTTCTCTAGCCATTCTGTTGAGAGTAACACTCTATCAATTCTACTCCAACTACCCCTCACACTTGAGCTACTCCATGTATATTGCCTACCTTGCATAGGTAAGTCAGACAGTTCCAAGCCTTCAATAAGAGCATTGAAATCCTTCATCCCTCTATCCCTTCTTATGCATCCCCTCCTTTCTCCCAAACTTCTAATCTCGTTGAAATCCCCCCCTCCCTCTCCAACACCACAGATATATGAACTGTGACTTTAGATTCCTCAAAGTAGACCATACAGCCCCTTTTCTAGCAACATCATTCGGAGCATAAACATTGATAAATACACAATTGAAATCAGGAAGGAGCATACCTGCTAGAACAAGAAAGTTCCTTGTACTGCAACAGTTGGAAAGTGAAACCACACTGGTCTTCCAGACGCACAAAATTCCACCGGATGGTCCGTCTGCATCAACCGCCATGAATTCCATATCATCGCAAGGCCAAAGAGATTTTACTAGCTTCGAGGACATTGCTGCTTTCTTCATTTCTTGCAAAAATAGGACATCAACTTTCCTCTCCTGAACAAGATTCCTAATCTTTTGGAAAACAAGTTTGGAAATTAATCATTTGCGTTTCTTTGTGTTGGAGTTGGATTTGCATCAATGATCTTTATCTTAGCCTGCCATTAGTGTCCTAATGGCACAGGTTTAAGTCACAGAAATAACCTCTCTAGAAATAGGACAGGCAAAGCTGGTCTTCATATTTTCAAGCTAAGGCAAAAATTTTAAAATTGAGCCTTTCATGTATTAAAAAAAAATAAAATTTATTTATTTAAAATTTTAACTTTAACGTGTATAATATATATTCCAAATCAATGTAATGAGATATGAGCCATGCTTAGATAATAATAAAAAAAATTCATAAATATATAGTATTATTGTATACATAATCATACCAAAAAAAAAATGTGGGTAAAATGATAAGTACTAATAATTTTTTTTCATATATATAGATATATATATATATATATATACTATTACTCACATAGAATATGCTTTATATAATCATTAAAATTATATTTTTAAAAAAAATATTAAAGAATCCAAATGAATTATCAAATGTTCTACACAATATTTTTATTTTAGGTCCTACTATTGCTCTATTAAAATTTACTTAAATAAATCAAGGTATGAAGGAAATTATTACAAACTCAAAAATATAAAAATGTGGTCTGATTTATAATTTAGAAAATTCAATTAACAATAACGAAAAATATCACCTAATCTATTAAAAAAGAGAAGAAGAAAAAGAAAAATATCAAACAAAATCTAAAAATTAAACTACAATAAAATATGAAATTATATATTATTTTTCTTGCATTTTTAAGAGTAAAATTACTAAGTAAGTTCACATATCATTTGTAAGGACCTTTAATTTGGATTGTGAAATTAAACTAATTTGGTTGAAATTTTATTTTTAAGGAGTTAATTACTTAAAAGTCCTATTTATAAATGTTATGGTAGCTTAGGTCCTATTTAAGATTTTTTGAATCAATAAATCCTATTTAGTAAAACTGAGAATATTATCAGTTTTTCCCAATTTTTAAAACTATGAACATAATAAATTTTTTATAGTAATGTTCCATATAATTGTTTCATAACTGATGAAAACAAACAGAGTATGAGATTAGACGTTTTTTTCCTTCTACCTATTGGTTTGATTTAACTATCCAATAAAATAGAAAATATTAACTATTTTTTTCAGTTTTAAAACTGTGAACATTATCAATTTTTTCATTTTTAATTTTTTTTTTTTTTTTATAGTTTTGCACATCAATATTCCATCATCATTATAGACACAAAATTTTCAATTTTGCACAAAAAATAATTCAATTTTTGCACAAAAAGAAAAAAACATTAGTTTTTTTTTCTTTTTTACACATAATTTTTTTTTAGTTTTTTTTTTTTAATTTGAAAGTTGATGTTTTAAAGTTTTGAAAAGAAAAATAAATGTCAAATCATAATGTTCCTTTATAGATAATCATAAATGATGAACAATTATTATTTGAAAAGTAATTTTGACTATTAAAAATTTAATAGGACTTACAGGCCTAAATTAGTTAGGACTTAATAGAATATTAATAAGTTCATAAATTAGAACTTGTGTGTAAATGTCTCATTTTTGGCCTACTAACACCATATTATATACACGTTAAAATTAAGGGCCAATTACTATTTAAAAGAGGAGAAGTCTATTTAGTCCTACAACTTTTTGGATACTCTCAAAAATCCATTGCATATTTTCCTTCATCATTCTTCTTTGTGCATTCATTCTTCTTTGTCTCTTTCTCTTCCTTTCCGACGACTGGCAATCATACATTACTTCTTCTCTTTCTCTTTCTAACATACAGTCACCGACAATCCATGACCACCGTTGATTAAGGTTCACCACCAACCACCGATTCCTTACTTCACTCTCACTGACAGCAAAGGAGACAAGTTTTCGACGAAAAAATATGAATAGATCTACTCATATCTTATGTAGATCTACTCGGATCTACATCATATCTAAGTAGACCTACACGAGAACAGATTAGATCTAAATCAAAAATAATTGTCAGAGTACAATCTTCTCTATATATCTATTTCTCTCTTTCGATCTCTCAATTTTTCTACCCATTCTCTGTTACACACTTCTATTTTCCTGTTTTAATGTAGAAAATTTTCAAATTCTAAACAAATTGTTTTTGAGTTTTAGTTACAGGCGGTGAAAACTATAAAATTTTACAATTTTAGTTTTTTTAGTGATGAAATGAATCATGCTTTAAAATTGTAAAATTTTGTAGTTTCATAACATTCTTTGGAACTTGAAAACTTAATCAATGATATTTTTTTTATTATTTTACAAAATAATAAAAAAAAAGACCTAAATTGGTTGTGCAATCTAGGTCGACAAATTATTATTTTTTGAATCTCTCTATCTTAATGAGAGAGATAGAGAGATTCAAACAAGCCTACCACGCTAATGTCTAAATAAAATGCTACAAAAATGGAGAGAGAAGAGAGAGAGAGAGAGAGAGAGAGAGAGAGAGAGAGAGGATTCTTCCCCAGCTAGCTATCATGCACTCGCCCACACAGGAAAGCGCCACATGTTCAATTTTTTGTTCTGACCGTCTGATTTCAATACCATTCCTCAGAAACTTTTATATTAGGAAGACATACACCATTATCAAATATTGATTTTGGCTGGGTACATAAAGTCTATGAGTTAAGAATATTTAGTTTCATTAAATAATCTTTACTAAAAAAGACTGAGTTAAGAATGAATATATCCGAGTATGGGTAGGAGTAGTACCAATAGAAGATAAGTTGAGTGAGAATAGATTGAGATGGTTTGGTCATACCAACAGAGGCAATAGTGAAGAGATGTGATACAGTGACGGTAGATGATAGTATTAGGGAAAGGGGTAGACTTAGATTGACGTGGATTAGTATAGTGAATAGAGATATGAATCTCCTTAATTTGACTAACGAAATGGTTTTGGATAGAGTCAAGTAGAGAAGAAAGTTTCATGCAGTAAATGATTAAAAAATCATTTAATCATTTACTCGGTCTTTGCATTTGCATTTGCAATGGTGAGGATATTAGTTGATAATAATATCCGATTCAGAAATTTTGAATAGTTGTTTCACGTTCCGTTTTCTGTTCTCTTTCATGTCTAAGCACTCTTAGGCATGCATTGAACATTGTAAATGAACAAAAGGGATAAGAAAGAGGCGTAAGAGAAATAATAAGTTAAGAACGGAATGAATTATTTGTGACCCAATGTATTATGAAATGTGTAGGGTCAAGCACGATGGCAAATCCATCGACAGAACACTGTGAGTAATGTCTTAGCAAAGATACTTTCAAGTATGCTACTTTCCAAATGCTACTTTTGTATAAGTTTCATGGATTTGTTGATTTGTGAATGAGTATTTGTTATGCCCAATGTATGTATAAGGCTTTACGAAGAAAATGCATTGACCCGAAGGCCGTCTGAATATGAATATGATTATGACCACGAATATGAAATGAACATAAATATGAATATGAATGAATTAGACCTGAGGCCGTTTGATATGATTGGGCCCACGAGGAGTCCTTGATCTCATCCATTTCCTGAATTGGTAAAAAATAAAGTGTTTGTAGGACTTGCTAAATTAAAATCCTCACCATCTCAGCAACACTCATTTAAATATTTCAAATGGATTTAAAATATTTGGTTGAAAAATGATTTAACAATCACCTTGTTTAAGGCGGGGTAAATTTTTACCTTAATCCACCCCGCCTTAAACAAACATCGCCTAAATTATATCCTGTTTTGCACCAAATTTTTCTCTATTTTGTGATAGTTGAATAGGATCAACTATCACAAAATAGTTTCTAGGATTTTTTTAAATACGCGTTAGAAGTTTTTGATTGGTCTGGGAGCATTGTTCCACATCATTCATTGAGGGATAAATATTCTATTGTATCCTAAAAAAAGACAGAAATATGATAGGTCCTACTAATCCAACCAATAACAATCAAGTTAGAACATCACCTCAACTTGCCCTATGAGTAAACAATTATTTTTCCTTTATCTGGTTTCTATTGGCCAATTTGTATGATGCATCACATTTTACTTTCTTAACTCATATTCTTTCTCAGCAAGTGTTTGTGGATGCAAGTATGGAAGGGGGAAGATCTGAAGTTAACAGAAGAGGTTGGCAACCGGTGTTTAAGAGAAGATTTCGAAGTCAGGGGATAAATTCTTGTATTCACACAGTGTTTGTGGATGATCTACCTAAATAAATGAATCCAAAAAGACTGTTCTCACTCTTCTCTAAGTTTGGGGTTGTAAAGGATGTGTTCATTCCAGCTAAAAGAAAAAAGGCAACGAGATCAAGATTAGCATTTATGAGATTTGACTGTCCGGTAACAGCGGGAGTAACAATACAGAAAGCCAATGGTGCGTGGTGCGAAAATAAAGTCCTGAAAGTGAAGAAAGCTGATTTTGGCAAGGAGCAAATGATACTAGGAACAAAGAAACCATTAACGATGCTCAGAAAAGTAGTGGAGGAAAAAAAGAAACAGGTACACATATGCTGAGGTGGTAAAAGGTGGAGCGCTGAAAAAGGAATCAGTATTGGGTTTTCATGCAGTAGAATATGGGAATGACTGGCTATTTAACAGTTTGGTGGTCAAGCTGAGACCACAACTCTTATTTGGAAAATTCAAGGAGGATTTGCAGACCAGAGGCCTACAAAATGTTGAGGTTAAGGAAGGTGGGGGTAGATTAGCATATGTAACTTTCCAATCAGTTCAAGAAATGAGGAACAAAAATACTGAGATCAACAAATAGGTTGAGGACTGGTGTAAGTCGGCAACGGAGTGGGAGAAAGGAATGCTCATTGATTGTGAAAGGTTGACATGGTTGTATTGTCTTGGTGTTCTACCAAATCTGTGGAACTCTCATAATTTTAAAAAGATAGGTGAGCTTTGGGGCGAAGTGGTGGCCATT